TGCGCCGATGCATCGCGGGTGCTGTTCTGTTCCAAGCCGTGATGATGTCATGTAGAACATAATCTGACCAAGACCTTGATATCTAACGCATAGTATTAAACGGGAATCTCCACCGCCGATCACTAAATTTGAGGATCAATGGCTTCATGATCGAAGTGTCATGCTTTAAAGAACGTTGGCAGAGGTTGGACGACGATGACCAGGGGGAGTCTGCGTCCCAACTACGGTGGTTTTTGCATGACTATGCAGCCTCCCTTCCACAGAGAAGCCTCGGTTGAGGAGCATAGCTGGGGTGGAAGTGACACTCTGGAATGGCAGCCAATTTTGCATCGCACTATCTATGTGTTGAACTGTACGCGGAACGGGTAACTGGAGTGGTCGCAAGTTTTGTCCTGCTACGATCAATATGATTACGGTCGAGCAGTGGAAACTGCCGTGTTAAACTCCCACTCACTCTTGGCGTGTATAGACGAGCTGCAGCGCAAAATAGAGGCGCCTCGCGCTCCACCACTGGTGCTTAGATTCTGGGGCCGCCATTAGATTCGGCTTTTCTGCACACGCCAGGCGGCAGATCGGCTCAGCCCAACTGACTCCTCGGACGGAAACAGGCCTGTGCGCTGCAGCAAGGTCAGGGACTCGTAAATTGTAGATACTTTAGCTGTAAAAGCAGCTAGAAGAGAAGCGCTCCCGTATTTTATCCTCATCAGGGATCATATAGTCGGTTGTGGATGACAACACTTCCCTGATAATCATCCACTCTTCAAGGAACTGTGGTCTCTGCCAAAGCGTCATCGGAGCAATTAGCTATTGTTCCGATCGCGGATCAGGGGGACCCAATCAGGGGCAGTTCACTATGGATCGAAAACGTGGGGCACGTCAGCACGCTCTGAGTCCATCGAGGTCAGCGAAGGGGAGAACTGGAGTGGACTGAGAGTTCCAACAGAAAAAGGCAGGATCAAAGCAAAGTTGCTTCTCCTGAACCCCTATATCACCCGGATGGAGGAACCAGTGGATACCGACGACTGGCCGGGATCTCTGGCATGCCTAAGCTGAATGGCCAGTAACGGCTTCTGTATACGCCGATATCCACTGCCCAGTGGCGTAACCTGAGGGTGGCTGAAACCTGCCAGGGTCACTGGTAGAGCTGCGATCCATCACGCATGCGCCGCTTTCTCGGTGAACTGCTGGCTAGCCTAGGGGGATCACGTTCTCGGATGGACGGCTCCAGTGGGCGACAGGCGTGCTTGCTGTCTGGTCTACTTGAGTACAGGCGTCGAGGTGCAAGATTTATACAATCACTGTGGCTAGATCAATGGATCGTGCGAGCACAGCAGCGATTGCCTTCCTCCCGGCTGGCCCCGTTAATCACAATACCGACGATTGGGTCAAGCTGAGGAGGTAGACTACGCTACCGATGATATTTTCTTGCGTCTTTGTACCCTCACCGACGTATACCGCCTGGAGTTATTACCTACTATGTGCGCCTATTGTTCGACGCTGAGATTTTGCGCTGACCGTATTATGGGGAAAAACCACTTGAGCCTCCCTGAGCAACTTGAGGGCACCTACGCTTACTTCGGAACAACAGTCACTACAAGGAGGTGTATTACGCTGACGGGGGATCCAAGGTGGATTGGCGCAGGCTTGTTTTGCTTCTTTAATACTGCGTTGGCTCCTGCAGGAGCGGCAGTTTCTACTTGAGTACTTCAAGGGCAGCTTACGAGCAACGAGGCCTTCAGGCCCGGGTGGTGCAATCACTCGACGACATCGGACGCCTATGGGCCGCCATCTCTGGTAAAAGAATGGACCAATTCTTCTAAGCTTCAGTTACATCTCGACTCCAAGCGCTGGAGGGGTGACATGGTTTACATATCTCAAAATGTACGAGGATTCAAGGACAGCGTGCGCGACAGTTGGATGTCGGGTTAGCGGGCTAAGACAAATCGACACATAACAGGGGCTTTGGTGCATCCAGGACACAGTATGCACACTGAGGCCAGAGGCAACTCGGCTGCGATATCAGTGGGCTCTGACTATGGGGTCAGCATCTTAACCCGACTTCCCTGTCCTATCGTACTGGAGTATTGGCTCGTCAAAACGGGCGGAGTTGCTATTCTACCATACCCACAAATTGCAACACACATGACGGACTGGTTACCGGATTTCGGACCACACGCGCGATCGCTGTATCTATGGGGGAAGTCCTTGTGAATGTGTACGCCCTACTTTGCGGTCCGAGAGCGAGAGGCTTTTTTACCTCCTCGCTGACCTTAAATCTAGACCCCTCAAAATACGATGATCGTCGGCGACTTTAATTGCGTCCAGAGTCCCCTTCTGGATCGATTTGGGAAGCATCGCTCCAACCGGTCAGAAAGCCCGGCCCTGACCACGTTGTGTCTACGATAGGATTGGCTGATGCAAGTTGGCTTCGCGAACACGCAGACGACGACTCCATGGATACTTCTTTGTGGACCATTTTACATACTGGGAAGGGGATAGAGCTAGTCGTATTGACATATTTTATGTACCGGAAGGCTGGGTGGACCGCGTCCTGTGGGTTGAGACGCGCTTACCTTCAAATTTGTCGGACCATCAGGAGGTAGTTATACACCTGCGAAAACCAACCAGGCGTCGCACTCATATTCGACGTGATAGGGTGGTGTATCCCATCACAGCATCGAACCCCGATAACATTATAGCCGAACTTGTCGAGGAAATGGATGGCATGGGCTGTTGGTCAAGCTTATCTACCAGGACTTGGGATCTGACGTTGCCCTATCCCCATCTCTCTTGAGGCGCGTGTGGACGCTGTATTCGGCGTGTCAGTAAGAGGGTGAAGCAGCGCAGGGCTCGGATTTCGCCATAACATTCAGAGACGGGCACAGCAGCACTTGCTTACCAGGCCACAATGGATATCCTGTAAGATGGAAGAACTGCAAGTCAGGAATAATATTGTAAAGCAACTCCTGGTCAACAGCTAGTCAGGACAACAGGATCGGTTACGTGGTTTTTTATCGCAAAATTGCCGACTGGGAGCGCGAGCAAACCGTCACCGGTATTAAGCAAGCTTCATGGACCGTGGTTTTTAGTCGCACCATGTCGACGGCAGATAAATTTGCCTCAGAGTGGTCCACTGTTTTAGGCGTGGTACATCATGTACCCTTCTGAAGCCTTACCAGCCACCATTCGTCATTTTGTTCAGTTCCCACCCAACGGGTTCTTTCTTCGAGCGAGAATCGGTCTTTAATGGCCGATTTTACTGAAGATGAGGCTATTACAGCCATCACGGGCCAATGTCGACATAAATCGGCTGGATCTGATGTTTAAACAACGACATTTACAAGGATACGCCGGCGCTTTGGTTCCAGCCCTGGTGCGGAATCAGTAATCAAATATTGGCGGGCTCAGATCCTCCACCTTCGTTTCTGGAAGCGCTGATCATACCTTTGCGGAAGAAAGGTGACTCAGCTGATGCTATGGATTACAGGCCTATTTCGCTACTTCAGGACTCAGTTACAAAATCTTCGCGAAGGTGCTGGCGACTAGGTTACAAGTTGTATTACCTAAGGGTCATTGGTGACTCACAACAAGGTTTCGTCCATGGCAGGCAGATGTTGAAGTCTGTCCTGATGATGCTCTCCCCAACTGGCAACTGCTTCTTCTGATGCAACTCTCGACGCGATTAATAGCAGGGTCATCCTTCTACTTGATTTTCGAAAGGCATATGATACTGTGGACAGAAGCTTTCTTTACGAGGCGCTTCGACAATTTGGATTTGAGGAACGATATATTCAGCTAATTACTCGGCTGCATGAAGGGACTACGGCTACATTCCTCGTAAATGGGGAACGGTCCAGTCCAATATCCGTCGTGTCAGGAATTCAGCAAGGCTGCCCCTCTGCCCCTTTGCTATTCCTCGTGGTGGTAGAGTTGTTGGGAATTGCAGTTCAGCAGTCTCCCACCTTGAAAGGACTCCTGGTACCAGGTAGCCGTACTCAAACGCACCGCTTCTCAGCGTTTGTCGACGACCCACGATTTTTCTCGAGCAAGCGAATCAGTTGGCACCGGCCTTTGCCCTCGTATCACGCTTTGGAGCCTTATCAGGACTGGAAGCCCAGCCGTCAAAGAGCAAAATCATACTCTTGAACACAGGGGTGCAGATGCGAGAAATGGTTGGCATTTCGGTGCTACACCAGACAGAAACAATAGTAAGGTACCTGGGCTATGAGGTTGGTCTTGGTGCCTTACATAACCGCAATTGGGCTTTAAGGATTCGAAGGCTTCAACGGCGGCTAATCACAGCTTCCAGGGTCGCGACTAGTGTGGAGAATCGAGTGTTGATTCTAAACTCCATCATTCTTCCATCCATTTTATTCACGGCAGCGGTATTTCGACATCCCAGAATGGGCGAGGCAGGCAATCTGTAACGGTGGCACCCTGAAGCTTGTACTGGTGACAGTACAAGCTACTTATTCTTGATAACAGAATAAGGCGGTGCCTCGTAACTTCACGTACACTCGTACGTGCAGAGGAAGACGGTAAGAAGAAGCGAGTACTCTGGTTAGAGTAAAAGTAGAACTGTATTTATAATAGTTAATGTCTGCAATAAATCACTATTTATCTTCATCTAACTATGTCTAAATACAAATGTGTAAATCAGTTATCTGCTCACCACTCATTGCGTGCGTCTGTCGTGGCGCGTCTTCGTTGGTTGATATAATGGCCTATATCAACCAATTAGGAACTCACTTGAAGTGCTACAGAATATTGTCCTTATGACAATATTCTGAGAATATAACTCTTATAGTTATATTCTATTAACAATTTCTTATAAATTGTTATGTAACGATTCACCCCGTTACATCACCCCCCCCTTAACCATCAGTCACTTTAGTGACTGATTGACTAAATGGATACTCGTCCCAAATCATTTGGGACGGGGTTTGCACTTGTTGGTCCGCGTCCACTTTCCAACATTTCATCGCATGGTAAACAAGCCCATGCGATGCGCGAGCAAGGCCGCCGAGAGCGCGTCTGCACGTCTCTGTGCGGACGCCGAAGCAGAAACTACAGCAACTGATGTCCCATCGGTTGCTGAATCGACTCAGCCTGTATCACCTGGTGATGCAGGCGCTGGTCATGAAGACACTCGTGTCTCACAGAGTACGAGCTCGGTGTCTCGTACTCTCCTGATACGGATGACGGATCCGTATCGACGGCAATTGAATCCAAGCCGCCTGCCAAGCGTGAGCATGGACGATGCTTGCGTCGCAGCATCTTTGGTTCATCTGATGAGTCAGATGAACCATCGCCGAAGCGAAGGCGCTCGAGGTCGCGAGACTCGGGCGCCAATAGTGGTGTCGTTTCTCCAATGGACACCACTTCTCAGCGAGGTGCCAGTACTTCTGTCGGCACGTCGCAGGAAGAGCGGGACCGCAATGTGTTGCGTCTCGCCTCCAGAAAAGAAGGCATGGATGCCTCCTAAATCTGTCAGTGGATCACTTGTCGGCGACGACGAGTGATCGTTATCGAACACGATTGTTCGATTCGTCGAGGATTCATCACCTGGACCCCAGCGCGAAAGACTATCGCGCTGAACATGAGTTCTTCCATCGATGCTTTCTTCAGACATCGATGGTACAGTGGGAATCACAAACGTGATGGTCCCTCACTACTTCAGGCGTGGAACGCCTACATCCATAATCTCGAGGATGTAGGTCGTGACGCTTGGGAACGACAAACTTATCAAAGCTCGTGATAAGTTTGAAAAGCGAACCCCCGACAGGTGCACGCTATAAGCTGCATCGTCTGTCAAGGGAGAAAGGATTACCCCCTGCCTCTTGTGGGGAGACTCGTGCCCATGTTGTGTGAACAACTCTGCACGAGCACCTAAGGAGGCTTACCTCCTTACCAGCCCGTGGTGGCGCGTACGTGTCTCTACTGAGATGTACGAAGGGATTGACAACCTGAAATCCCTTTACGACCGTGCCGGGAAGACTTTCTCCGGCGGTCCTTCTGCGGCACAGGATGTGCGCGTCGTACTGCTCGACCAGACCCAGTACGTCAACCATCAATTGGGAGCGGGGGGCTCCCAAGAATCCCAGGACGGGGAGATAGCCGCGCCACCGGACGAGGGTAACTCGTCCGACGTCCGTTCACGTCGCGGTGGTTCAACAGCTGCTCTACTAGATAGCGCTGGCCACCGCGAGAGTCCTCTAATGGAGGTGGAGGAGGAGGAAAGACGCTCTCCACACGATCATGTGGATCGGTGTGTTCCCGAGAGTTTTCTTGATCGCGTAACGCAAGGGTTACGCGACGATCTCGAGCATGAGCGGAATAGGCGTCTCCAGATGGTGGACACTGCCCGAAGCATCGAGCTGAGTTTGCCTTTGCTCAGCTTGAGAACGAGAGATCTCTGACATCTTTTCGTGACGAGCTAAGGGTAGCTCGTGGGATTGTTGATCGGTCTCGGGCTGAGATAACTGCTCTTCAGACCCCTTGTTGATGCCCACCATCGGGAGCCACAAGGCTCTCTGCGAGATGCTTGAGCGCAAGGGCGTTCTTCATCGGAAGAAGCAGCGTACTGATGGTACGGCTTGAGCTGCACCAACGTAAAACGTGGGATGCGTTCGCATCTTACGTGGTAACTCGATCGTGTATGCATTGCCTAGGCGGTGCAATACACGAAATGGGCCAATGTACTTGGGTAGTAGTTTACTGCTTACCCAAGTTAGTCACTACATGTTTTGGTAGATTAACCGTAGACAGTAGGACTAAGTCACCTTTATTAAATAAAAGAGTGTTTGCCCTTCCATTCTTGTCAGCGTTTTGCTTTTGCTTATCCACCGCTTCGGCGATGGAGTCTTGCACAAAACGGACTACCGTTTCACGAGCCAGTATGAACTCATCTGATGACTCGGTTAGCTTCAGTGTGCTGTGAGCGCACTGCAGCGACAACAACCTTTCTTCAGTGAGGGCCTTCCGCACTCCTCACTGGGATCATTGTCTTCAGTGAGGGCTTCCGCACTCTCACTGGCATCATCTTCTTCGATATCGATGTTATCGATATCGGCATCAAACGCAATGACTTCTTCGTCAGAGCGTGATGAGCGTGAACCAAATCGGTTTTTGCTCGCGCGAGTCCCTCCCCCCTTAAACCAGAGTTACACTCTAGTAAGGTGGGTACACGCGGATGGCGCAAGCCATTCACGTAAAACGGTGTATGTGTCGTGGACGCATGCACCGAGTTGTTGATGGCAAACTCTACCATCGGCAAAAACTCACTCCAACTCTTAAAGGAGTGTACTGTATCCTCGAAGTATCTCTTCAAGGACACGATTGGCACGTTCCGTCTGACCATCTGACTCTGGATGATCAGATGTTGACATCTTCAAGCGCGTTCCGAGTGATTTGAACACGGAACGCCAGAAATCAGCAGTGAATCGTGGATCTCTGTCTGATACGAGTTCACGGGGCAACCCATGAAGTCGGAAGATGGTGTCAATAAAGACACAAGCACAGCCACTTGCCGTGATTGTCTCTGGTACAGCCACAAGGTGTACCATTTTGCTGAATCTTGTACAACAACAAGAAAACTATTCGTCCTCCTGGCGCTTGTGGGAACCCGAAGACGAAAACCATTGAGAGGGGTTCCCAACCCCCAGCCCGAACCGGTAGAGGCTGTAAAGGTGCACGCAGTGAAGGACTTGACTTCACTCGTTGGCAGACTTCGCATGCGCGAACATACTTTCGCACAAACTGATACTGGCGGGGCCAGTAAAAGTCTCGACTTACCGTGAGATATGTTTTCTCTCGGCCACGATGTCCTCCTATAGGAGCATCGTGATACTCGAACATGATCCGCAAACGCAGATCAGTATCATCTGGAATGACAACACGTGGTGTGTCACCAGAAACGGCTGTATAGTACAGTAAACCGGTTACGAGTAGTGTATCGATCTGATGCAGATCGATACGCAGGAACGACAATCGTTTCAACGATTCTCGAGATGGTTGGGAGAGATGTGACAACAACTTCACTATCTCACCATCTTGGCGTAGCGCTATGCCCCCTCACATCATCATACAACGTTGTAGATGGAACTGAGGACGTCATAACCGCAACAGTGACTGTCTCACTGTTGGGTTTCGCGACTGTTTCAAAGTCGGGACGACGTGAGAGTGCATCAGCGACGACATTAAGTCGTCCTGGTTTGTACTCGACCGTAAAGTTGTATTCTGCAAAGAATGACAACCACCGCGCCATTCGTTGTGAAAGGTGCGGGCTGTTCACTGCCGTGCGTAAGGACGCATGGTCAGTGTAAACAACGAAGGGTCTATCTCCTAATAGATAGACTCTGAACTTCGCGAGTGCATACTTCATGGCAAGGAGTTCCTTGTCATGCACTGGATAGTTCCGCTCAGCTGGTTGCAGCTGACGCGACTGATAGCAGACGACGCGTTCAACGCCTTCAAGGTCGTACTGCATTAATGCACAGCCGATTGCGAAATCGCTGGCATCACAGACCACATGAAATGGCCTGTCCTGATCGGCTATTGCTAGGACTGGGGATTGTATCAAGCTCTGCTTGATACCCTCAAAGGAGCGTTGACATTCAGCGTTCCATAACCACCTCTCGTTCTTTTTCAACAAACGAGAGAGGTGTACAGTCATCTCGGCGTAATTGCGTGAATACTTATGCAAATACGCCGCTAGCCCAAGGAATTTTCGAAGACCTTTGACATCGACCGGCACGGGCCAGTCGGTGATCGCCTTGATCTTTTCGGGATCAGGACGTACACCGTTCTTACCAACGATGCACCCAAGAAGTGGTATTTCGCTTGCTGCAAATATACACTTCTTGAGGTTTGCATACAATTGATGCTTTCGCATGATTGTAAGAACTTGTCGGACGTGGTACTTGTGAACCTCAACGTCCGACTTTCCATCCATAGCTCGACTATGGATGAATACGTCATCGAAATAACTCGGCGCGAATTCTCGTACCGGCCTCAACAGATGTGATACACACCTGTTGAACGTGGCAGGGGCATTACTGAGCCCTTGTGGCATTACTAGCCATTCCCAGAGCATGCCGCTAGGCGTGCTAACTGCGGTATAGGGTATATCCCGTTCCCGCATTAGGATTTGATAGAAGCCATCCATCAAATCCATGGACGAAAAGATGGTACTCTTTGACATACCATCAATGATTACGTCCTTCCTTGGTATCGGCGTCTGAGCCGGTACCGTTGCAGCGTTCAATTTGTTAAACGCGTGCACTATCCGCCACCCTCCTGTTGCTTTTCGCACACAGAAGGTCGGAGAGCTATGTGGGGAAGTTGATTCCCTCACATGGCCCGCTGCTAAACGATCGGCAAAGAACTTGTCGATCGCAAGTACTTGTTCACGAGGCAGTGGCCACTGCTTCATGACACAGTACTTCGAGCCTGGTTTAAGCTCGACTTCGTGTCGAATACCTTTATCCTTCGGTAATTCGCACGGAACAGTTTCAGGGAATACATCCTTGAATTCAACCAAATCTTCATAGAGAGGATTTTCCTTGAGCGATTCCCATGATTGGGAGTCATATCGCTCAATTCGTGTCTTTTCATCTAGGACACTCTCGTCCATAGATGAACTACTGAGAACTCTCTCGTTCTCAGTAAACACTGTTGCTGACCTTATGTCGGTTACATACTCGTCTTCAGCGACGAGTATGCAGATCTGCTTGACTTTGCCACTACGCAGATCACGCAAGAATCTTTTTATGTTCGAGCGTTGGCAACTGAGTGATCTCCGAAGTTAACTTCGGAGGCGCAATCAGATCAAGTGTATAAGCGCCTACACATGATCCGTTATTGACTATGACATTCAATGTCTCTGTCATTTCCTGGGGACTTATTCCCTCAGGCTTCGAAGGACTTATTCCTTCGTCTTCCCGGGGACTTATTCCCGCGGGTTTCGGGGAACTTATTTCCGCCGTATTTGTAATCTTGGGACTTATTCCCTTTACTTCCTCTAGCTGGGGTTGCGCAACCACAGCGAGATCCTCTACGAAAGACTCTCCAGTCGATCTAGGATTATCGTTTCGCTTAACCTGAGCGATCGATTGTTTCTCTTCTAGATGTTCCCCTCTAGGGATACATCTTTGTCCCAGTCCACCCGACTTATTCGAGTGGTGGACCTTCGGCGCAGCCTGTGTTTCCTCACAGCCGCCGGAACTTTGCTCCGAAGTGTAACCGTTTGGTACACTAAGGTTTTGTGCAGTCGTACTAACGACCGTACCACAAGTGAGGCCATCGCACTCACTCGTAGTACATCCACACGCTTGTGGACTCTCCAAAACGTTCATCAGATGGCCATCTGATGAACAAGCGGCAGGCATCGTTACTGTCCGATGTTGCCAGTTTACCCGTGGTTCGTACCTTCTGAGCCACGGTATTCCAAGGATGACATCAAATTTGTCATCCAAATCCAATACGATAAAGTCATCGTCGTATTGGGTATCTTCTAGCGTATAGTGAATCTTCACTATACGCTTCATGACGGTTACGGATGCGCCTGTCGCAAGACGTACCGTCATCCTCGTAGGAGGTGTGTCACATTCACTGAATTTAAAGTGACCATCTTCTAGCGATTGGCGTCGCACAAAATTGTTGGACGCCCCACAATCGACTAGAGCTCGAAGGGACAACTTATTCGTCACTTCGAGTTTCAAGGTAATGAGTGAGATCTCATTACCTAGAGCAGCAACGCACAATGTCTGTGTGTTGGGAGCAACCTTCATCAAGAGGCCTACAAATTCTCTTGACGTTGCTGGATCAGTAGGTGCTCCGCACCTACTGATCCTGTCCGTTTTTTGACGGTCCATCCCGTTGTTGCGTCTTTGCACCAACTGCGGACCCTCGTCCCTGCCCCTTTCTCATGGGTGGATTTGGTCACTACGCCCAGTGTCGCGAGACACTGGACGAGGGGCACCACACTCGTAAGCGTAGTGTCCTGTCTTTTGACATCTGTTGCATCTCTGCAACTTCTTGTAGCCTGTAGAGCGAGCCTTCTCGCTCTCTACATAACAGAGTTCCATCGGCTCTGGATTCCTCCGTTGTCATATCGTCTCGGTTGACGATATGATGTCGAGCTGGCGCGAGCCTGTCTCAGACTGAAGTCTTCCTGCTCCGCAATTGAAATGGCTTGTTCTAGTGAATCTAGTTCAAGCCGGAACAGGTGAGTCTTGACGGGACCATCCGCAAGACCCTGCATGAACACCGAAACCAACGTGTGTTCATCCACCGGATTGGAACTTATACAACTCGTGAGATGTCGTATATGTTGAGCGTAAGCGTGCACATCACGCTTACCCTGCTTGAGCTTCAAGAGTTCGGTTCGAGCTCTGAACTCAGCTCTAGGCGGTTCAAACGTTTGTCTGAGCCGCGACTTGAAGACTTCCAACGACCCAAACGCGTATGGGTCGTGCAGCTTGAGCCCCAGTGCCCAAGTCTTGGCACGTCCTGCCAGATTTGACTGGGCAAATGCAACTTGCATATCCCCGTCGTCGATGCGACGCGCCCTTATGGCGTCATCCAACTCGACGAACCATCTCAAGAGGGAGTCTTCTTCGACCCCCCTATACTTTGAGATGTCAATCTTCAAAGTCTCGGGCCGACGCGAGTGCATCGACCCGCCAGCAGCAGCCTGCTGCTGTCTCAACAGTTCAAACTGTTGAGCACCTTGTTCTCTCAACAACTCTGCTTGTTGAGAACCTTGTTGGTGAAGCAAGGCTACTTTCTCGCGTTCTGCGTCAAGTTCATTTTGAATGAACTTGGCGATAGTAGCATGTTGGGCATCTCTATTGAGAGCCTCTAGCATGACGCTAACAGCATGGATGCCCATGGTCGAACCCATTCGTTCAACCGCATCCCATTCGACATCGCTCAAATGGGAGTAGCCGTCACGCGTAGCGTGAAAGCTTTGGTCATCTTCATCATCCAACATATTCATGTTGGATGTGAACGCGGTCCTTGGACGGACTACGAAGTGCTACCAGGTGTAACGGTGCACCCTGAAGCTTGTGCTGGTGACAGTACAAGCTACTTATTCTGATAACAGAATAAGGCGGTGCCTCGTAACTTCACGTACACTCGTACGTGCAGAGGAAGACGGTAAGAAGAAGCGAGTACTTGGTTAGAGTAAAAAGTAGAACTGTATTTATAATAGTTAATGTCTGCAATAAATCACTATTTATCTTCATCTAACTATGTCTAAATACAAATGTGTAAATCAGTTATCTGCTCACCACTCATTGCGTGCGTCTGTCGTGGCGCGTCTTCGTTGGTTGATATAATGGCCTATATCAACCAATTAGGAACTACTTGGAAGTGCTACAGAATATTGTCCTTATAACAATATTCTGAGAATATAACTCTTATAGTTATATTCTATTAACAATTTCTTATAAATTGTTATGTAACGATTCACCCCGTTACACAATCCAAAATTTGTACAAACAATTTTTGTGGGCTCATGCCACTTCGACAGAAGCTAGCAGGCACAAGATCAACCCAGGACTGCTATTCACTCCGAAACACGCAGGCGGAGTAGGGCTGGCTTCATTCGAGGTCGCAATCAAAACTCAGCACACGAAACATGCACTGCGGTGGCTAACGCAAGCCCAGGACAAGTATTTTGCCTCTTGGTGTCACTGGGCTTATCAAGGTAGGCCAACTTCCTCATCCCTGGTCCTTTATGGAAGGGGTATACCAGGGATAACATCTTCTTGCACTTCGAAGCCGTCGAAACCTGCATGGATACAAGACATGGACAAGCTTTTGCAACCCACGACGGAGCAATTGAATTTTATTCGAGATCGCGTCCGCATGCACTATTCGACTTTGCTCGAAGGAGCCAGTAGCTGGTGGGAAGAAGATGAATGGGTATTATCTTACCATCACCCTTTTCCGGAAGCATTAGCATCCAACGACGTCCAAGTACTGGCACTGCACCGCTTTTGGGGAACGTTCGGATGGAGTAACAATTCGTGGATTCGCGACGGGCAGGGTCGGCAGCTTGTACGCTCCAAATACGACCGGATAGCTGACTGCTCCATCTCGGACTTGCACATTCGCAGAACCGGACCGAAAGAGTTTATCTTCAGTATCTCATTGGCTGGACCTGCTCTAAGCATCACTATCAGCCGAAGTTAAGGCGCTGGGCTACATCTATCTTGCTCGCTTCGCCTTCTATTCGAATTGGGTCGGAACTAGCGCTGGAACCGAAGTTAGCACTTCGTCATGCGCCTCCGTTTCGGTATCATTTTGACTTTTCGACGGTGCGACATGGTTACGTCGTCGGGAATAGACGGGAGTCTGCGGATAACGGGTGTGAGCACGTCAAATTGCGGCAAAGTGCCGACGGATTTAGATGGTTTTTTACCACATCATTACCTGAGTTGGTTACTGAAACTGTCGCTGAGAGGGACATTTGGATGAGCCGACTGCGGTTACATGGTGTCGTGTTTTATTCACATCCTGATCATCATCGATTTCCCTGGGCTGTGGCCAACACGGTGGCGAACGTTTCGATAAGGGCAACAATTGCCCGGCTAGCGTTCAGACTTCACAAACGACTGCTTGCTGTCCCTTTGAAAGGGTGATCCAACGGTTGAAACAAGTCATCAGCAAGGATGGCTGGTTGCGTGCAGCAGCTCATCAACGCCCGTCTCAAGTTTGGAACCATACTAATGGCCTTTCGGATTTTCAAGTCTGGACTTGCTACAGAATCGCCACTAATCAACTTAACCTCTACCATGATGGTCGTCGCGCTGACAACAGCTGTCGAGCGCTGATGGAGTGTTGGGGGCGTAAAGAAACGTCGGCTCACATCTTTTGGGAATGTCCAAAGGCGCGCGCCTGCTGGAGGCGACTTATCTGTCACTGGACGGGTCTCCGAGATGTGAGGTCTGTTGATGAGACCTGGTATTTTGGCAGTGTGAATCGTCAGGCTCCTGCATTACCGGCAAGGCAGCGACAACGCCTACATGAACATTTACAAGACGACTTGGAAGCAGGGGTCATGGTTTGGAATCGCATATGGTTTATTATGTGTAGCGTCTGTTTAACTCACTTATGGAGTGAACGAAACGACGCAGTATTTCAAGGTGTGCGGACGACGGTTATTCACAGCGTCACCCGTTTTTGGAAGGTGGGGATTCGGCATCTCAGCGCGTTAGCGAAACGCGAACATCGTGGTCCCGACACAGTCGTCGCTGGGGCTCTCTTACATGCCTGTCTTGACCTCTTCACTCTCGAACCGCGGGATGAGGTGGTCTTCGCAGGAAGCAGCTACGACAAGCTACCGGATCCGGAGCTCTTGTCCTGGCTCCAGAGTTTTCAGACATCTTGTACATAGGTAAATGTTAATAGACGGTCATGAAATCTCTCACTTGGTGCGTTTATTCAACGAAGCACGGGCCATCGCTAACGATATTGATGTCGCCAGCTGGGGACATCAATACCGCACCTTCAACAAAATGGCGGATCGACTGGCAAATATCGCTATGGACACGGGGTCTTCTATACAAACGCACGCTATCTCGAACCCAGGTCTGGTCCGGGAGGCTTCAAACTTCCTTGACACTGATGTCAATCATTGGTTGGAGACCTCTCAAGCCGACCATCAACTCGTCATACAGGGCCCCGGGCTGACCTCGAGGAACCTGATTATCTCGAGACAGGAGTCTGCGCGAAGGCGCTCTGCTGTGCGAGGACTAGCGCTACCTAGTATATAAAGTAGCGGTCGATTAGGTAACTTTGTTGCCGGATGACAGGATATAGCAGGTCGTACGCGTACCTAAATATACCTCACCTTCTCACTCACTCACTCATGTGGCCTCGGTCAGCTCGAGCAACTCGTGCTTTGTATCTCTACAAAAGAGTCAGACTACGCCAGCGGCACGTGTTGTAAGTCGCAGGTCAAGATCAAGGGCACGGCTCTCCTTTTGCTCCTTCCCGTGCCGAGTGCTACGTTCTGTACAGCTTCCAGTTCAGGAGCTCTCCTTCAACTGTCTCAATTGCAAATGACCGAGAGCCCGACAATCGTCCACGCATCCTGACTCACCTACAGCGCTATACAAAGGTCTTCGTCGAGCGTTCTTTTTCACATGTTGACTCGCATGGCGGCGCATGATCGTTGCTCCCTCGTGCTCATGTGGTTGTCAACTTCTACCACTTGTGACTGCCAACAGACTGCTGACCACCATGTTGTCTTTTCCCTGTGCGTCGTCTTCCTGACCGGACAAATCGCAGGAGGAAACAGCTGCCTAAGTGTTTACTACCGCGACACCTGAAACACTCGTCTTGTCCTCTGTTGCAACGCTAGATGACGCTAGCCACGACGACGTGACATGCGATCGATAAATAAGGGGCAGCTCGAGCATGCTAATCATCCCTACGCGTCGCTAGTAAAGGCCTTCTCGAGACCAAAATTTGCCGCGTGACTTATCCGGTCTCACAAATCTCTCGCTTTCTCTCTCTCTCTCTCCTCCTCCTTCCGGCTTAGCTCCTACTTGATGCCTCGATATCGTGCACAACGACGCGTACGTTCGTCCTGATCCCAGCGGTCACATCCATCCCTCGCATCTAGCAACCAGTTCTGAACAATGTCTCTTCCACCTGACGATTGTGGCGGGCATCATAAACTTGACCGCCAGCTCATCTACAGCGATGAAAGAAGACGACGGTCGTCTGTGGGTAACAAAAACCGGCACTGCTCTCAAGTACCTGCACGGCTCTTAAGTGTCTCGCGTAGTCGACCAATGCCAGTCGCCCGGTCAAAGAGACGTACCTCAGTCGTGGTAGAAAGGATGCTTTTTTGTGCGTGGCACCTCAAAGCGCAGCAATACGTTGTGCTTACGGACCTCTTGACCACGTGTCGACTGAACATTTGCTGAATGTCTTCCTGCTTGGATCCACGACGTCGACGTCGAGGCTTTGAAGGGCAGTCACCGCTTCTGAGAACGCTTACGGGCGCAGTGGCGTCCAACCCATCAACAACAACAAATCGATCCGCGAGTTCGGGGAGGGGATGGTAGAAAGGGTCCTTGCAACTGACACGTTTTTTGCAAAGCGGGACATGTCATATACCCATGGCGGATCGGGCGGCCACTTGTCCAGTGGTGGAGGTCTGATGGAGTGTCTCTTTCTTGTGACGTTGCCCTCCATGGTGTCGTGCCTTTCGACTCAAAGTGGAGAGAGTTGCGTCGCCCAAGCTCTTTTTTCCCATCAATTTGATCATCAGGACGCCTGGATGTCGTCGCCTTCTCCTTCTTTCATCACTCTTCGATTTGCCTTGGAACACGCACGACGACCTGATCCAGCGAGCTGCTCTTAACTGCTCGACTGTTGAAAAACATGTCGGAAACTGCAGTGCTTGTGGTCAAGATCTTGGCTGCGTGCTCGTGCACCGTCATGATCCTTAGTCCGTCCATCTTGATCTCTCGCATTGTCAAGCAGAAGGACGTTGGCGCAGCGTCGGTCATTCCACTCGTGACGTTGTTTGCGAATTGCCACGTCTGGGCCCTCTACGGCTACCTGACAAAGGACTGGGTCCCCATTTTCTGGATCTACTTCCCAGGCGAAGCCGTTGCCATCGTCTTCCTCGCTCTCTACTGGAAATTCACTACAGAGCGACGTGATGTCACTCGAGTGCTACTGGTGACCGTCGCTCTATTGGCGCTCGTCTCGATCTATGCAGGAATTGGGAGCTTGGGCTACACGAACCAGTCCCAAAAACAGGTCGACGCCATCATCGGCGTTTTCGCCGACATTAGTGCCATGTGCATGTACGCCTCCCCCATGGAGAAGCTGCTCCAAGTGCTCAAGTACAAGTCGGCTGCCTTTCTGAACTCCCATATGGTCATCGCAGGGCTTACGAACAATTGCCTCTGGTGCGCATACGGCACCTTGACTGGGAACTGGTTCATTATTGCACCCAGCATTATCTTTGTCTCGCTCAATACCTTCACGTTGATACTGTGCGTTGTCTTCAATGCCAAGACGCACCCTCTTCCAGCTGATTTCCACATCCAGCGACGCATGAGCGACGTCCCTTCAGCTCCGGCTGCGGAAGCGTCATCAAAGATGAGTGCTGTCAGCTACAAAGCCGATAGCACGTTTCCAAGCCCGGCGTTTGAAGCTCTTCACTCGCCGTTAACGTCCATTCACGTAACGAAGGGGCTTTCTTGACACGAGTGCGAGAAAGTGTAGTCTTAGGAATGAATTGCATCGTATACGTGTTGACCAATTTACCAGGAAGGTTAGGATGGTACTAAATAGACAACAGCGCTACTGGACGCTACCAGTGGCGCTTCTAGTTCAAACCCACAAGGGACCAAGTCTTTGTTAATATCATCTCTGCTAGTGAACTGTCGTCTCGTAGCTGCATGTGCTTTAGGAAATGAACGAAGCTTGCAGCTATTCATAACTAGTCGTTGACATTGAGAGTCAATGCCGGTATGGTGACTCTGCAGCAAGTGTTCAGCAGATAGTCAAGTGATTGCTATGCAATGCATCACGAAGAAGCGCACTCTGTAGCTCAAACTTGATTGAGCTTATTTACCCTTTTGTTGTAGTGCACGGAACAACAACCTGATGGCTGGAAGACGAGGAGGTCTGTGCAAATGGTAACATCTAAAGCAAGAGGAGAAGGGAAGTCGTGAGTGACCAAAAATGAGTCGAGCAGTTGAGCTAGAACACTGGCCGAAGAGGTCAACAAGTTGGTAAGTGTTGCTGACAATGCAATGGTGGATGCGTGGATTGATAGGCATTAGAATGGTACAACTTGTCCTCTGTACGACAGAAGCCCCAGCGACACCAAAGGAGAATGAAAGATCGCACGGTAAGTATGACCATTAGATAGATGCCGTGCTCATTCGTCGGTGGAATGGAGAGCAAGGGCATACTGCTTGTCCAGTGAGGCAAGTGCTAACTAGAAGACAAAGACAAGTAAGTAGCGACGGGTTTTGCAAAGCACTAGCAATAGTCAGGCCAGAGACTGGAACTCACATCTTGTAATCGCTTCGTGCCGCTTGCGACTTCTGTCGTACACATCTCTTTGAATGTAGAGTCGAACTAGTTGATTGCTTGCACCGGTTTCAGGCAACCGAATGCCTAGACCGTTCCTTCTACGTTCGATGAAGCTCCTCTTCGCGTACATTTTGCCTGCTGCTTGTCGTCAATCCATCAGTTGCATTGCTACATCGCTACGACTTTCTTGGTATAGCAATGCCATAATGTGCAGCTTCAGATTACGGAGGTCTTGTGCGTTGCGTACTGTGAAGACTGTAGACAATGTAAAAACAACTTGCTGTCTATAATGTAAAAGGAGAGTTCGACGGAACGCAACCACGTTTGAACCAACTCATACGACTATGGCGCACTGACGGACACTCACTGCGAAAGTAGAGCAAGACACGCCACGTCAGGTGCATCATCTCTTCGAGTACCACTACCGACCAATATTGTGCTGGTTGTAGGAAAGGCATCATTAACGTTGTCGAGATAGACAACTCTTGACTGCATGCTTCCCGATATAATTGCGTGAGAAGCAGCGATCCAACCGATCGATATGATCGAGGTGCTATGCTGATTTTGCGAGACAAGTAAAGCTCTCGCATCGCTGCTAAGCATGCGACCTCAATGGAGGCCAGGCGTACCAGAGTTACAGTCGTCCGAATGCAGCAGTTATTGTATGACCACTTCAACGACATTATTCATCGTCTGAATTGCTGTCGAACTGACACCGTTGTTGCTGGACTGAAGACACGACTATAGCATGAGAGCATGCCATAGTCGCGCAGAGGTATCCCACCTGGCTACTGGATGTAGATACCGTGGCAAGTCGTGATGTTTTACATTCCTACTTCTTCGGTTTAGGTGATCACTGAGCGTCCTAGTTTTGCTATGGGGACACGGCCTGAATTGAATAGACTGACACTTGCAAATGCGAGGTGGCGCTGCTAACCTGCATCTCAACGTCAGCATCACCATTTGACTCGGGGATATGGCTGTCACCGTCAGATTGAAATCACAACGTCGATACTTGCTAGTCCTTAAGCACTATTGGGAGCTTTTGCGCGGAATTATGGAGTGATCTTAGCATACCTTACTAGAGAGAGAGAGAGCAGAGAATGTGGAGACAACCACCTTTGGATCAAAGAATACATCAGTCTAGTGAATACGATGGTACAGGTATAGACGCGATAACGAAGCATCGACTCGAAGCATCAACTCGGCAGAGCTCTGTAACCATTAGCCAATTCCGTAGGCGCTCAAAACTATGAGTCAACTCTACAGAGCGCTGCAACCGGGAGCCAATTGCTCGACGTGGTCTCGTACCAGTAGCTGGCATTTGCCGCTTCTTCAACGAGGCCCCTACTACTGGTACTGGCAGAGTTTTCGAAGAAGATGCACAAAGTCCAGCTAGTTCCTGTCTTTGGGCAGAGATCTGCTTCATGTCTTCTGCGAGAGAGATGACACGAGCAGTAGCATGCTTCAATAGCAGATTCTGAGCGAGAGGATAGAGACAGATGCCTAAAGATGTGTAAACAGTGGAATCTGGAAGTAGCCGGAACAACTCGATGGAGTTCCACACCACCGATCAATGTGCACCGACACATAACGAAGCTTTGAATGTAACAGCTCATCCAGCTTGCCTAATTCATTCATTGGTGTAGTAAAGCTGCTGTATGCTGTATTCTGAACATGAATGAAGACGACGATGCTTCTTTGCTGCATGGTAGTCCAGCAGAGGATCACACCCTAGTAGCATTGACTGCCTTTAAAATACTACACACGAAGCTCGTCGTTCTATGCATCACACGGGCCGTCTCTGACGAGTCGCTCACCTGGTCATTACAGCTCGAGGGGTTGTCCTCGCACAACTGTAACAATTGCTCACGAACAAAGATCCCATTGAGCTGATCCCGCTGCAGTTTCTTCGCATCGAAAGCTGCCTATTGCAGTGCTACCACTATGTATAATCACTAGAACGTGAGCGGACGTGACTGCTACAGAAGCTGTGCGAGAGATCCCACGAACCTTGATAGATTCCGACTCTTGCATCTGAACGAAATCGAAACCTCTTGACCAGAAAGAGACTTCAGTCTCAAACTCGCATCGGAGCGTACACATACTTAGAGCCTCGTACGAGTCAAGGGCGAAACTGAACGCCAGAACATGGTAAACGTTATCATTGAGACACTCTTTCGCGTGTGTACGTCAATCACGTCCGTCAGTGTAACGTTGAGTATGGTGCCGTCCATGTACCGCATCTACTGCAACAAAGACACGGGTGTTGCATCCGTGCTCCCACTGGTTTGCATGGTTGCCAATGCCCACGTGTGGATGCTCAATGGCGCCGTCGTGGAAAATTGGTTCCCCATGTTTGCTACTTTTCTCACATCCGACGTGATAGCGATTGGTTACGTGACCGTCTTCTGCTGTTTTGCACGGGACCGCAAGAAATCGATCTACAGCATCCTCATTGGAGCTACCACTCTCAGCCTCATAACGGCGTACGCAATCGCTGGCCATGCAGGGTACACGAACCAGTCGAAAGAAGGCGTGGATATGACACTAGGCATCCTTGGGGTCACAGCTGGTCTCAGTATGTTTTGTTCCCCTTTTGAGCGAATTCTGAAAGTCCTGCACTACAAGTCGGCAGCATTCATCCCGATTCCAATGGTAGCTGCTGGTGCCCTGAGCAACGTCATGTGGATTGTCTACTGCCCCATGGTCGGTCGCTGGTTTTTGTTTGGAGGCAACGCGACATGTCTGATCTTGTGCTCGGTCAACATTGTGCTCTACATCATCTACAACCCCAAGACGCATCCACTATACCTCGAAGAAGGTGATCCCGATGCGTATCAAGGAGAATTACCGAAATTCGAGCTCGTGTCGATCTCTGCAATGCGCTCGTCGCTTCGATCGGACGGAGACGTCAGCTGGAAAGCCAAGCAGCACTTACCCAGTCCAGCGTACAGCTTTGTGCACTCGCCGGCTGCCAGAAATTTATCCGATATTAGTTGTCGGGTGTAAGAGTGTGCATTAATATTTGCGTACGCTGTAATTTGTAACACCGATTCTTTGTTGTGCATTTTGAGAAGAAGTTATTGTCGTTCGTCGTCGTGTTTTCGATCTGAGCGTGGCACGTTTTTGCTTGCGAACGGAGAGGGGCGACGAGCCTAGATCGACTCTGGTAGTATCCCTTGTTCCACTGTTGTCAATCGTCTGCGAAGAAGCGCACATGGGGTTTTAGTGGTCCATTTGAACTCAGAGGTGTTGTTTATTGTCAAGGAATGTATGGAGCAATGGGTCCAATGCTGATCGATAAACATGGAGTATAGTCAAGCACGAAGTGAGTGCTGGGGATGCTGTCACTAGAGTCGATGTCATTTCTATCAGCTGTTCTTATTGTCAGCACACATGTAAGGTGCTGCATGCAGGATAAAAAGAATGGATCACTGATAGATCAACGATCTCTGGAATCAGACAGCAGTAGGAATCGTGTACGATCGCAGCAGATGTCGGTTCTGGCAGTCGCTTAAGACGCAAAAACACTCTTCGCATTTCCTACGGCATGTGTAATCAGCTTATGCAGGATAGTCGTCCTTCTCGAAAAACGTTTAAGGATTGGCCAAGTAAGTCGAATCGTAACCTATGACTCGATGCATCATGCGTGGATTCATCAGAAAGAGCCCTGGTCAGCAAATGCAGTTTTGGCGTGGCAACTGGCAATTGGCCATGACAGTTCATAGAAGTACAACAATACGCACATACTGCATCCTAGTTGTGGCTTATGCTGCATGATCGAGTGATCGTGGTGATAATAAAAGGACTTCGTTGTCAGCACGCAGCGCCAATAAACGCATAAAAAAATAAAAGCCAGATGTTCGCCATCAACTAGCTGGTCCGTGGCACGTTTGTAGGCACCGCTCGAGCTAACCTGCAGTCTTCAAATCACCTCGACTACCTAACCTTGACAGCAGAGGACTTGTTTCCGAAATGGAAAAAGTAGTTGCACCAGCTGGATCGAACGAAGAGACAAGGCCGTCACAATTGCTCAATTCACGCGTGTCAATAGTAGACCACTTTACGGCTAAGGGCGACGAATTGAGCATGACTTCAGGTCCACGTTCGTCGAAAGGGACGCTATTGCGGAGACCGTCTACAGTGACCGACCCGAGCGATCGATTTCTGCCAATCAAAATCCATGGCGTGCAATTGCGGGTTTTTATCGGCGACATCCTGATGGAAGGCGAGCTTACAAAAAAAGGCGCGTCTTTACTATACACCTGGACCAATGTATGTAGTGCACGTTTTGTCAAAATGATTAATGGTGATAATGATGCATTGAACTGACAGGACTGATGATGTTAACGGTGATGCTATTGATAGCGCATGGTCGTGCTACGTGGACACATTTTGTCGTATTATTCTATTACTAGACAACAGCGGTACGGGACGCTACAAGGGACTTACAATATCGCAAATGCAACTATAACACGTCCAGACAACCTGTCGTTTTGTCTACAGCTCGTCAACGGCTCTACTTGCAGTTTTGGCGCTTGCAATGTCCAGACCCTTATGGACTGGATGACAGCAATTGCAATAGCTGCCGACGCTCTCATTGTAAAGCCACCAACGGAGTTGTCATTAGTTGATCACAGCCGCACGACGCATATTTTGCTAGTGCGTCACGGGCATTATGCCAGTTCAGAGAAACCTGCTACGGATGTGCAAGGATCATTGACGGAATTGGGGCTCGAGCAAGCCCGTGCAACAGGAGCGTTTTTGTACAATTACCTTGCCGAGAGGATGGTAATGAAGCGTTTGTCCAAGGTATCGGTGTACCACAGCGGCATTCGACGGGCCGTTGAGACCGCTGAACGGATTGAAGCTGCTTTTCCTGAAGGCTATCTGCAGCTCGTTGAAAGCAAGTTATTCCGTGAAGCTTGGCCGGGCAATCCGCTACCGACTGGCAAACGCCAACAATTGACAAGAGAGAGGCTGGATAATATGGTATCGGACTGTGCCCGGCTGAAAGTGGCGTATCGTATCATGTTTCGACACTTGATTCCGCAGGATCTAGAGGCAGACGAGCGTGAGTTGAGCGAAGAGGACCAGAAGCAGTATGTCAATACGTTTGGCGCGTACTCGACGCAAACTCGAGCAAATGATCGATTTCGTATCGTCGTGTGCCATGCTAACACTATCCGCTGGTTTGTGTGCAAAGCACTGGGTGTGGACCCGGATGGCATGTGGGGCCGCATGCGATGCAATCATTGTGGCATTACGGCTATGGAAGTCGACAGCGTTGGTAACTTACAGCTTTCATACATGAACCAGGTTGGCCATTTGAAGACGACAGAGCTTTCAGATGTATAGTGCTGAGCACTAAGTAGTTCCTGAAGTTTTGATTCGCTTGCTTCGAAGAGAAGTGCCGAGTGGTCTTACGATGAAGCTGCTAAACGTTTCTGTTTTTGCATGTCAAGCGTCATGAGATGAGTCAACTATCGTTTGTGAAGAGACTGGTACGAATGATAGCAGCATATGACAGTATCGTGTGTTGTGAAGTTTGTATCCACCAACAAGCTAGCTAGGTCCAGTTGCTTGTGATCTACAAGCTAAATGACAAGCTGGAGGCTCAGAACTTGAAAACCTGCGAACTGGTGTACCCCATCTCCTTGAGCAGTCCCGAAACCTCGCCTTGGCTACGATCAGGCGCCTTGTTACCCGAAACGGCGTCCATCATAGGCGGAGGACCACACACACCGACAAAGCTACCGTTTGAAGGACCAGGCAGCAGCTCCCCAACGATCTCCTTGCTCACGTAACCGGTATAGCCCTTCCAGTTGGCATCAGGCTTACTCAGGACGTGGTACACCTGGAACTGCGGGTACATGTGCTGCAGCGCATCTAGCTCGTCCCGAAGGATGATGTCCTTTTCCGTATGATTGCAGTAGATCAGCACCACTCGCGTCGAGTCGTCCGGGTTGCGGCAAATCGTCTTGACCACCTGCAGCGCTGGGGTGAGGCCTGAGCCACCGCAGATGAAGCCGATACTCTTGTGCTGATTCGGCTTGTACTCGAACTTGATGAACGGACCCTTCATCGATAGCTCGTCGCCCACGTTGAGGTTGACGATATGCTTGCTCATCTTTCCGTTCGGATAGCCCTTGACAACAAGATGGAGCTCGCCCTTCTCCGCGTTCGTGTTCGTGGGCGTGTATGGACGCACCACCTCTTCGCCATTCAAGTCGAACTTGGCCATGAGACAGCTAGCTGTCCTGGTACCCATCTCGTGCTCATCGGAAGGCAAGGCGAAAACCAGGTGCTTGGTGTCGTGCGTGACCTGCTCCACTTTAGTCACCTTAAACGAGCGGAATTCCTTCGGGCTCAACGCCACCTTAGGTTCCTCCGCGTTGCGAGCGATCGTCGAAACGCTAGCCAGGCCTAAGGCAGACACCATAGCAGTAGTGGAAGCAGCGCTGCCCGGTTGACGAGACGCGAATCGAAGCATGGACGTGAACATGGTTGATCGTTGCAAGCTTAGGTCAAATTTGAAAATGGTTGACGTCCTGCACCCCTCGATCAAGTAAGACGTCCATCATGCTCCTAAGCATCCTTATTGGCTGAGTAAAGGAACCCGTCAAAAACTTTACTGTAAGCGGCTTACACTCCGAAACCGGTATGCGCTGACACTGTCGCATGCCAGACTCTTCGCAAAAAACGGCATAATAATGGATGAAGAATCCTGGATCGTCAGTAGACTCAGTCGAACGAAAACGTGTCTGCGGCAGACCAATCCGCGATGCTACCGCTGATTTGTGAGCGTCCGAGTGAGATGCGGCTGACTTTTTTCGTCTTAAGCTGACGAGACCGGTGCGATGGCTTTGTCGTCGTGCGACTCTTGGAAGTGTTTTTGCTGTGCGAGCTTGCCTATTTCCAAACGCTGTTAGCATGTTATCGTAGTAGCGCGTGCAGGAGTGACAAGATTGACGTACCTTCAGTACCTGTGTCTTATTGACAGTAACCTGAACTGGTAGCGCTGCCGTATTGGAATCCTGCGTTGCTAGTACAGGTTGCGATGTCTCACGATCATCCTCGCTGCGGATTTGAGATTCGAGAGAGTCTTGGCTCGCCATGTCGGCGGCAAGACCTGGTTGGGCACTCGATGTGGTGCTTGCGTCACTTGCAGTGACACTTGCTATGAGTGCAGTTGGTGTTATACTTGCAATCTGTGCTGGTTTTCCAGCTTTCTGCGCTGGTGTGCGCCGTTTTAGCCGAGGCTCGCGTGTGTCACTTCGCTTGCGTTGTCTCGAAAACGTCGACTGACCATCCTTTGTTGCCTCGTTTACTCGGACTATAACACCGGCGTCAGTAGTAAAAACTTCCGTCAGTTCGTTATCAGTCTGCGGCGACTCGTCCGCCGAGCTTAAGCCAGGCGCTAGCTGGCGTCGAGCAGACTTCGGAACTAGCTTCTGCACTCCTTTTGTCTTTTGCTTCCTTGGCTTTATAAGACATTTCTCAGCACCTGTATCCTGTAAGCGTAAAACGTGCAAGCTACCGCATCAATAATCCACATGTCAATCCGACGCCGTTTCGCTCTGCACATACCTTGTTAGCTGTGGCAGCATTACTAAGGCGTTCCACATTTGGCGGGCCAGTCTGCTGAACTTCAATCTCGTTGTCTTCACAACCGTTTACAGGTGTTGACATTTCCATGCTGCTATCCGCTGCAGGATCGTGCCCGGTCGCACACAGCGCAGGTGTGGGGTTTGCGCACGCTGATTCTTTCGCAAGCATTTCCCTATCCGTGCGATGCATGTTGCATGCTGTGGATGCACCAGCGCTCTTTGCAACCATGGCGTTGTATTGCTTTTCCTGAAACAAGAAGCCCGTTTTGTTCAGTTAGTCGATCGATCTACGTACGATGTTAGCAGACATCGCATCACATACCTTTTGTCGCAAGATCGTGCCAAATTTTCTGCGAGCGGTGGCTGAGGCCTCCTTATATTTCTGCTTGAGCTAGCATGTTCACGACGTCAGTGCACCATCGATCGCTTAAGCGCCGTCAAATAAGTAACAGCTACCATGTCGGTCTGGCAAGCAATCGTGTCATCGTCAGCCCTGTTAGTGCCTGATATTGCTCGACTCGCGATCTAAGACAAGATACTCAGTGTTAGTAGCAGTAAGAAATGCTGGTGCGTTACGGCGTTAGCGCATACCTCTTTGTTTAACAGTTCAATTAAGCTACCGGCATCATCAGTGACAAAAGTGCCCAAGAACTTGTCGCGCACTTCGTCAGTATGATTTTTCACTGCAGTTTGCGCTGCAGCAACGTTGTCGGTCAACACTGCCAGCTCCTGGTGTGTATCTTGTATTTCCGACTCCAATTTAGCGCAGGATGAGCGCAGCTTCTCGGACTCCATGACACGCGTAGCTCGGAGTTGCTGAGTACGTTCGACATTGCGCAGTACTTGCTCAAGTGCACTTTGCAAGGCTAGTACTTCAGCGTCGACAAGCGTTTGGGTAGCTGTAGATTTTTTCAATTCCTCTTGCTTTGCGGACAGTTTGGTCTGCGACTCTGCAAGCACCTTGGTCTTCTGAGCGATCTTTTTGTTGGCAGCGGCCACCCTTTTGTTGCCGGCGCAGATGGCCCGCTCTGTTGCCTTCAACTGTTTTTCAGCATCCTGCAGTTGGCTATCATGCAGAGCTACTGCTGTGTTGTATTCGTAGAGAAACGCTTGGTAATCTGGAACACGCAATATCATCAATCAATATACCATCATATCCATAGCACCACTGTAATGTATACCAGCTTCGTTAGCATCGCGTGTCTTTTCTGCTTCTTTCAGCTCATTCTCCAAGTGCTTGCGCTGGCGCTCCAGCCAAGTAAGCTGTTCGTCTTTTGCCTGCTCGAATGCAATTGATCGTCGGTTACAATGCCTGAAGGACGTTCAGTTACCGCACGACTCACCTTTATGCTCGACTGTGTAAATACGAGCCACTCCTTTTCTTGTTTCCGTCGCAGAGCTAGCTCTCGTTTGTAAAATTTCGTGTTCGCCACCTCGTCCTAACACGCACTCATCCATCAGCAACTGATTGACATCATCCCCTTGCACGCTGAGCGTACGTTGACATGCTGCAACCGCGTTTGTAGCTCTTTGGCCAGTTGCAAGACTTCTTCATCAGCCGGGCATGTCGGCTTCAAACAACCAAGTTAGCAGGGCGTGAAAAAGTCCACATCGTCTTAATCATGAATTGCTGCTCGTACCCCATTGCTCTCAAATAATTTCTGGAGCTCGCGCTGTTCACTGCATGTAGCAAATTCCGACCTCTCGTTGACACTACGACACATCTGCTTTGTTGTAACAGCCGACGCACCTTGTCGCGTCTGCATTGGAAATTAAGAACTGGCGGTGCTCTTCATTCGCCATACCTTCGTAGGTTTGCCAGCTCTACCAAACGAAAAAAGATGCAGACGATGAAGCATAAAGGACCGAACAACAACAAAAGCAGATCACGTTGCTTACGATCTGGAGGTCGTCCACTGCAGCCTTTTCGGTCGTCAAAGCACGGTCCATTTTCTCAATCGTTGCGGCTTCATGCTGCGCACGCTGGCTGACACCATCAAGATACCTGTTCGCCTCCGCAAGCTCAACTTGATCGTACTTCACATCCAGATGACCAACAAACTCGTCAGCCAGTTAGCTATCCACATGGCGTAGTATTCAATCAAGGCTCCCGTACCTCGAGGTTCCATATCGTCGAGTGCGTGTCTTCCAGCATGAGGCACAATGTGCTCCGAGCTGACACAATCAACCGTGACAATACCCACCCACACACACACACACACACCCACAACGTCAACATCAACACCCCACTAGTAGTCAAGTGCAATGTACTGCCTCACGACGTCTCACGTCTAGTCATACCTTCATTCAAGTGCTCGGTCTTTACTGCAAGCGCCGCCGATTCCCGTGTCGACTGCTCTTTCAGTCCCATACACTGCCGCTCCAAGCCCGTGTATTTCTCCGCCAGTGCGCGTAAAACGTCCGTCAACACTCGACACTTGTCCGCTGTGGCTTCCAGTTCCTTCCCTCCGATCACGTCGCTAGTAAGAGCGTCGCCCTTCCTACTGTCTCCTGCTGCAGGACGAGCATCTCCTAGCTGTGCCCGCAGTGCCACAAGCTTCTCCCAATGTCCACGACGCCTCTCTCTGGACATGGCATCACAATAGACAGATGGAGTGTCAATACTGGACGCAAGTGTAAAGCGACAAGGCCTCCAGACGACGTACTGTAGCCGGCCATTGGTCGTGAGCAGGTGCTCGTGCCGGTCTCGCAAGACGCAGAGCGTCTCGTGGCGCTCGCCCAGCAGCTGGTCGAGCTGAGTGGCCTCAAGTTGCAGCTTTTTCTCCTTTTGGGCCACGCTACATACAATTTTCAAGTGAGTTGCAGGACGTGGTGTGGTAGGTCAAGCACGCAACAGGAGCAACCTCAGGGCCGGACGTACAGGCTGAGCGATGAAGGCACGAGCGTCTTCGAGTCGGGAAGGTCTGGCAGCATTCCCATGTTGCGCGCGTTTCCTTTCACGGCTGAAGCGGATGCGCAATGGATGGGGAAATGACGAGGAGGTGAAAGGCAATGCGGTGGCAGAGTGATGGTCGCAACTTCAACATTGCAGTGGATCCTGTGATCCGGTTGGTCGGGCAAGTTCACGGCTTTGTTGTATCACGGAATCGCGTTTTTAGTGAGTCGTACATAAGATTCGTGTAAAGTGTTGTTATCTAATGCGGACACGGACGTCTGTAGTAAGACTGCTTGTACGTACGTCCACCTTCTACTTGCACCAAAGCTTGCCATTACGTCATGGACGACTGTGGCATTCTGCTTGACAGAAGCACAGAACAGTTGGGTGCCAGTCTTTGTATTTTGTTACGCATGATGTAGCTCGATGGCTTGCCGTGGCATTGCAAATGTCTAGAGGAGTTCACGTCGGAACCATTTCTAACCAAGTGTGCATGGGGGGGGGTTGTATCAAAAGACGCATGAAGTATTAAGCTTAACATAAGGTATTGGTGTCTGTGCACGAGACTCACCTAATGTGCAATTTCCACCCATGTCGTAGCTGGCTGCACGATGTTGCACAAGAACAGGTGGTCAGTAAATTTAATGCTTCGCTTAGTCGGGCGTGCGTCAAGGTGCACTCGATCTTGCGTTGGAAATGCCAGCGTGCAACACGGGGACTTTCAACTCTACAAACGACGACGGAAACGGGAAGCGCTGATCGCTGGCCAAAGTCTATCCATCCATCCGTCAGTTCCGTCTGTCTGACGTGTGTCCATCGGTCGTCGGCCTGGCCAAAAGAAATGGATAGACATGGAAGCCCCCGCTTCATGCTTGCTGCATCTTGCAGCTTACCTGGGTCCCCAACCGCCTGCGCGCGCACGGAAGTGTCTATTCTGATTGCGTCAGTAGAAATGTCGTTTGACTTACGCCAGCGACTTAGCAGGTTGAACTTTCCATGGAGCAGTTTCACCTAAAAAGAAAGTCGTCTCCGTCGTCTTTCTGTACATCGTTCGCAGAGATGGCGCCACCACCACCAAATAGAAGGTTCGATAACTGTGACATGACAAAAACACCTCATGTCACAAGATTCCATGGGATTCTTTCTATCTACCAATATTAAGCACCAGACTGATGGATCAATAGCAACGACATGGATAACACACGATCAAGGCGGGACAAAGAGGCCAACATGACACCGAAGCTGCGGCCTCCCCCCATCCTCTCAAATGTGCCACCAACTCCGTCTCGCCTTCGACCTTACTCCCCGCCACTAACACTAGCTTCACAAGCTCGCCTAAGGCGCGCCTGCACTACTGGTCGAGGTTTATTCTACGTCTTGCACATTCATGTCGCCCTGGTTGGCGTCGGCCGTGTCGGGCTCCTGGTCCGACGTCCACAGCGTCAGGTTGTCACGCAGCAGCTGCATAATCAACGTGCTGTCCTTGTAGCTCTCCTCCGACAGCGTGTCGAGCTCCGCAATCGCGTCATCGAACGCCTGCTTGGCCAGATTGCACGCCCGGTCCGGCGAGTTCAGAATCTCATAGTAAAAGACCGAAAAGTTGAGTGCCAGGCCCAGTCGAATGGGGTGCGTGGGCGGCAGCTCGGCCATGGCAATGGTCGACGCCTGCTTGTAGCTCTCGAGCGCCTTGTCCGACGACTCCTTGCGCTCGTCGTCGACCTGGAACTCGGCCAAGTAGCGGTGGTAGTCGCCCTTCATCTTGTAGTAGAACACCTTGCCCTCCTCGCTCGACGAGTTGGGGATCAAATTGTTCTCAATGATCGTCAAAATGTCGTTGCAGATGTCCACGAGCTCGCCCTCAATCTTCTGACGGTACGCCTTTATGTGCTCGCTGCGCTCCGAGTCGCCCTTGTTCTCAATGGACGAGATCACGCGCCACGAGGCGCGACGCGAGCCAATCACATTCTTGTACGCGACCGACAGCAAGTTGCGCTCTTCGACCGTGAGCTCCACGTTGTGGTTGTTGGCCACGGCTTTCATGTGGTCCACCATCTCGTCGTAGCGCTCGGCCTGTTCGGCCAGCTTGGCGAGGAAGACGAGCGAGTCACGGTCCATGGTAGAGAGAGGTGAGGAGAGAGAGGGAGGGAAAGTGAGGGAAAGGGGAGATCTCGGACGCTTGTGTGGCAGCTCGGAAATCGGATACTGGCGACAGGAGAGAGGGAGCGGGACGGGTGCGCAAGCGGCAAGCGACGGGGTGAACACAGGTGAAGCATAGTAAAAGCAAGAACAGATAGAGTGATGGTCGTCATGACCTCGCATGTCCCAGCTGCAACGCCCGTCGTACTTAAGACGGAACGAATGGGTTGCCTGACAACACAAAGATGCCGAGCCAATCGTGGCGTCGCGAGCGGTTGCGACCCCACAGCACTCGACGCGACACCAGACGCGTCACAACAACAACAACACCTGGACCTTCCTGCCTTCTCGAAGGTTGTAGGACGTTTCTATGCGTCTATCTGGTGCAGAACGCGGTCGTCTGGCATTGCGGTGAATTTTCACGTAGCTGGACGATCTTGGCAGAGATGGCGTTACATTGTAGAAGAATGCGTGATATTTAGCCAATCGGAATTCGCATCATCACGAAACGCACGACAGTCTTGCTCTCAAAAAAAGACGGCAACTCCTAATATCTTATTGTTTCTCTAATTTTATCAACTGTGCTTGGCGAAATTGATGTTTCCAAACTTTTACGCAGCCGCCGCATCTTGCGCACGTTCCAACATATGCGATGAGTAGATTATATGTATCCTCCGGTAAGTGCATTGACTCGTCCTATCCACTCCTCCTTGTACAACATGTCTAGAGATGCGATTTGATGCCATCGTCACCGGTTTAGACCACCAATTACCGTTGGTTCAGTGCAGGTCAAATCCTTTTCACTCACTTATTCACCCTTCAAAATTTCCTCCACGAATTGTCAACCTGGCTCTCCGTGAAATCCGTCCAGCCCATCTTTTCCAAGCAAAAAGAAGATATCCATTCATTGTGCGTCATGCCAAGCGGCAGACTAGCCAAAAAAGCTCGTACAACAAGTAGGTCACCACGGTTTCGCCTCAATCTAATCACCACCAAATCGTACATTCCATGTGTTTTCACGATTCTTTTAAGCTGGAGCACGATCCTCATCGTCGATCACGATACAATCATATCCGCCAATCTATTCATTTCTACATGCTCTTTGTGATCGACGACGGCAGCACAAATGGTCGATCGTTGTCCGTCCGTCCGTCCGTCGTCGCTGAACGTTCCAACGATACTGACTGCCCAGTCCACACCGTACGTGACGACGAGACACAGCGGCATAGAATTAAGTCTTAGCAGCCCCAGCAGCAAGTAACAGTTGTAGCAATGGGCATCGCCTTATCAATGCAAAAATTCCTTGCGACGCCCTTAGCAGCGCAATGGAAATTCCCCTTTGTCGTGAATCCACGCTTCTGTCGGCGGCGCGTCACGACGTTTGAGCTCACCGACAACTTCTGGACACACGCTATGGATATCCACGGCTACGCGGTGCGGGAAGTGGATTCCGGTCGCACTTTGTTCCGGGTCATGCCGGCCATTGATGGGGAAGTCTCAGATGGCTACACAAAATGGTTGGTCGATGAGTACGGAATTCCAGTAGCTCACTTGACCCATCGAGACCAGGAACGCCAACCTCATAGTAGAAGCTACGATGTGTGCCTGGGCAAACGCCGTCAGCCGCTTCCAAAGGTACTTACGACTTTGATCATCAAATGCCCGCCAGGTCGAGGTGAGCCGCTCCTTGCCGAAGTGGATGATCTCCACGCAGGTGGTAAAAGTCGTCTGGGATGCCATGGGATGTGGCGACAACGAGCTGCCGTGTTGCACCTCGAACGAGGTCGTGGAGGACGACGGGAACCTATAGCCAAGGTCTATCGTCCAGCTAGTAGTCGGATGACGACGACGCTCGGAGGCAATAATGGGTACCATGTTGAGACGGCGATTGGAGTGGACGTGGCACTTGTCTTGCTCGTTTGTGCTGCTATGGACGACGCGAATGTTCATTTGAATCGACCGGTTTCGGTGCACGAGACGTCCGAAAGAGAGCAAGAACAGCAGGACATGTAAACTACTTGAGCACTTGTACTAACCTGTAGCAATACGTAGTGGTACTAAGTAAATGAAGAGAGATGTGATGTAGGTATGCGAGTTCAGTAATAGTTTAAATAATTGTTCGTGTTAGTGGTACCGACGCCACTTACAGGAGGTTTGTTCATGGTCACTACACTGATTTCTTCCTATCAAGTCAACTGCAAGTATCGTTGAACTCGATTAGTCGCCCAGGATAGTCATGACCAGCTCGTCATCGATCTCAAGACAATTTTTGCTCCAATTTAAGGAATGGGATAGCGGTGGTTGGGAACTATCGATCGTGTCGAAATGGCTCCTGCTCAAGTGTTTGCCATCTTCTATCGCTTCAAAGACGGCAATCATCACGGGACTTGTCTCTTCAGCCCGTTGGAGACATCGACCACAGAAAGCGAGCTTGGCAGACGTGACTTTCCGGCGACACGGTTGGGCGAACCGCATTTGTCGGTAGGCTGTGCAGCTAGCACAGACCCGTTCATCACAGGCACTGCATTGTCGTTCGGCTCGATGTGGCCAGCGACTGAAGGAGCGGAAGCACTCGGCACAGCACCCACCTCCTTTCGAATTTGACAATGTCGGGTTACTTGAGTTCAAGAGCCACGCGAGTTTCTTGAGCTCTGCACAACGCATAACTCGATGCAGACTGTGCATTTTGGCCAAGGCTCCACCAAGCAAGATGCCGTCACGAGAAGTCGAGCCTAGCATGAAGACTTCCACCACATCCGGAGAGGGTTGACGATAGACGTAGCAGAACGAGATGACGGCTTGCTTCCTCTCGAGTCGACCAGTACCGTCAAGATCAGGGACTGTAACGGACTGAAGCAGTTCGTAGCCGACTCGCTCGCCGTCATCAAGTCGCGTGATGCCAGTCGATTCAATGTATACAGTCTCCATTGATCGCGAGCGGAAGATCGTTCCGGAGGCTAAGGCAGCACCATACCGCAATCCTCGCCACCTGAGAGTGCACGAGTGCAATGGATCTTCAACACCTGATGATTCCAGCGGAGCAACTAGCAACCGTTCATCCACAATATTGTCCCCTAGACACGATGCTCGCAGGCGAGTGGCATCTTCCGTACAGCTCTGCAGTCCAAACATCACGGACTCAAGGTCCCCCGGGAAGGTACCAACTAGTAACGTAGCCGGTAACAACCTCACGTCGTCAGCTGCAACGTCATAATCTGCCAACCGTGAACCAAGTTTTCGCGTACTGTTACGATTGGTGCTGCCAGGACTCCATCGTTTACGACGTTCTTCGTACATGCAGAGGTTTCGAAATCGAGCAACTCGTTTCCAGCGGGTAGAATCGACCACATTAGGATGACGTGCACAGCCGACGTAGTGTCTCGACATGTGAACCGTTTCCTGAACAAAGGAGTCGCTCATGGTCAAAAGAGCAGCAGTTTCTTCGGGGGAGAGCTCCTTGGCCAAATCATGTTGAGCTTCCTGCTTCATGAGAGCAAAGCCTTCACACTACCGAGTACGTGTGTGCAAATTGCAAAATGCAGCTCCTTTCGGTGGATGTGCTTTTGCGGAAATCGTTGGCGAGGAGGGGTCTGCAGGTATACCGGTCGTCTGTCTGTCTACGGGACTTGGTGGGGGACGGCAAATGAATTGTCCGACCAGCTCCAATCGATTGTTGATGTTGAGGAGGTGACGCGACTTGGACAGCCTCAAGGGATACAGTTGATCCTCGCTCCATTCCGACGCGATTCCGGCTATCACCGAGTTCAGATCGCAAGCAGCTGGGCTTCGCGACGTTTCTACGTGCGTACGCATCCAAGAACAATAGGTGCGAGCTGAATCCACAACCCACTGCAGCGCATCGGGTGTCGAGTTAACGTGAGAAAAAGGATAAACAGGACGGCTACGGTATCAGCACGACGTGGAAATGCATGCAAGTCTGCGCGAAAGCCTTGAGGGTGCTACTCTAGGTACTACGCAAAGTATCTTCTGCCACGTTGGGAACGCAACTTTGCTACGAGTCACGGTGGCAAATGATAAAATCCAGGCCGCGCGACGTCGCAACCGAATTGAATCCAATGTACAACGGGCTCAACTCGCCACTGCAGTTGAGACGACGACGACGACGACGGAGGTGAGAAGAGAGTACCTGTGTCTGTCTCCGCTGTTGAAGCAAATCTTCCACGGCACCAATCCCGGATAACGGGTGGACCTTCCAAATCCCTCTCTACAGAACGATGATGATGATGATGATAGTGATTGCGCTCCACTTCCCAATCGGCAGCCAGCTCCAACCACGAACAGAGACGAGAACCTCCGGGGAGGCCAGGAAACTGGCCCGCTTGCCTTCGGCAAGAAGTCCCTCATTCTTTGGCCAAGGTAAAAGGAGGAGGAGTTACCACACAACCAGTCATCTCAGTCGTGGTGTGTAGCTGTAATAGACGGTCTGAGCCTCTCTCTCTCTAGAACAGACTCGCAAGCTTGAAAACATCGATGTCTTGAAGTTATATAGTGGCTCAGTACTTCCCAAGCCGCTTGGCGAACTTCTTGCTGCCGGCAATGGCAGCCAACTATGATTCTAGCAGTAATCTCCTCCTGCCTGTATCACATCGTTCGGTTTCTTACCCGATCCAAACAAAAGATTGAATCGGTCCAGTGGGTGACTGACTTATCTCGAAGGATAAAGCGCTTCGTTCATACGTGCCCAATGCGGTCGTGCGTGTCAGATCGCCATCCTACTCTTGGAACTGAATACCTAGCCGCTTGCGGGGATATCGCCTGGGCCGTCGTCGGTCTGGTATCTACGCGAATTCGACTGTCTCCGGCTCAAAGTCGATTTCCAGCATTGCCCCACCAAATCGTTGTCGACGATTGCTCGTGTCGGTTGGCGATGTACGAGACCCGTCCAATTTGCCATTCGTATCTCGTGAGGTATATCGATATCCAACCCGACGCCGAGCACACGACTATGTGTTTGAGCACCAAAATGGCTTGCAAGTGTCGGTATTACTGAAGGGCTTGGCCATGCTTACCAGGCTAGGCTGGGCTGATCTTGGTTTTGGGGGAGGATGTAGTCTAGTCGACATAACCTCAAAGGGTTGCGAGTTGTCGGGTAGATCTTTAGCCAAATAAGCAACACTAGCTCTTCGCGCGAGTCCGATGTTGAGCGGAGATCGTTACCTGAGGTGACGACTCGAGCTGTCTGGCGAGTTTGCAACGGCATAAGAGCAGTCGGACACCTCTTAATGTCATCACGAAGCTCGAAAACTCCCGCTTGCTACAGTGGGGAGATGCCACTATCCTGGACGCAGCCCACAAAAGTTATGCTCTTCTATTGAGGACTTTGTCCGATCTTATTGGATCGCAGACTGGCAATGCACATATTGCTCAGTATCCAAAACAGTCTCTTCCATGCGTCGGTGCAATCTGTCATCTCGTCAGAAATTCTGAATGAGATTATCCGCATACAACTGCAGGGTCACTCCAGTGTCCGTCTGCTGGCATCATTGGCAAGAAAACGTTGTAGTCGTTGTCAAGTCCAGTATTCATCAGTTCTGTAATTGCTACTAGCACACCCAGGCGCTTGGACAGGATTACGGAATTGAATCGACCTTCACCCCATGCGTAACGGGGTGAGCCTGTTGTATGTGTTTAACCTTGATACTTGTTAATTAAAATATTATCACAAAGGTTGATAATGTTTGTGAATATTACTATGAGGGGTAATATTCAGAAAAATCACCGATTGGCTAATATATGCTATCATATCAGCCAGCTCTGAGGTCCAATCAACGATGAACGCGCTCAATGAGTGGTGGACAAGACTTTGGCATACACTTCAGTAAATAAATATAATCATGTTGGGACTGAACATAGGCACAGGTAATCAGGACTCAAAATTAATACAGTTTTAATTTCTGCTCCTATTGAGCGCGTCGTTCACTGGCTAGCCTTCCTCTGCACGTCTAATGTACGTGACGTGACGCGCGGCACTACCTACACAGTTGTCAGTGTATGTCAATGGTACTGAAGCAGTACTAGTAATCAGTGCACGGTTACACCTGGTCGCACTTTGTAGTCCGTCCAAGGACCGCAACCCCTACATTGCAACGTAGTAGCCTGTTACATAATATTGACACTAAACGGTGTCAATAGGGAGATTGTATAGCATGACAATCCCCTACCACTATTATCCGAGATGGATAATAATGAAGGAATGCTATCCCCTTGTAGGATAACATTCATGCGCTGCTCAAAGATTAGTTGATAAAATCAAATCAACCAAGGTTACCATCAATCGCCGCTAGGCGCGCATAACGAGTGGTGAAGCAGGTTGTCGTCATACGACAATGTAGTTTAAATAGATAGATAAAGACTGAAGGTATATTGATAGCTTAACAGTATTGAATACAGTTCTCTTTTTACCCTTTACTCAAACAGCTAGTTTAAGTAGATCAGCTTACTCTGCACGTAGGAGTGTACGTGAAGTTTCGTGGCACCCAAACAAAGGAAGCCCGTTCCCCGTTATACCTGGCATGCCCGTTACACCTGGCAGCGCTTTGTAGTCCGTCCAACGACTACTTAGTGTCCGTTCAACTTTAACATGTTGAACGTAGAAGACACAAGCTTTCACGTCACACGTGAAGGCTACTCCCATCTGAGTGACTCAGAACGGGAAATTGTCGGCTAAATGAGTGTGATCATGGGCGAACCCGCCATCAGTGGTATGTTGGAGTCTCTAAGCAGAGACCAGCCACATGCTGCTATCAACAAGTTCCTACAAGAAGAACTTGCTGTCTAAGACAGAAGATAGCCTTGCTGCACCAGCAAGGCTCTCATCAGTTGATGGACGGGCCGACACATACGCGTCAACCCGAAACCTTGAATTTTCACATCTCAAGGTACAAGGGAACCGATGAAGATTCCCTTTTGGAGAGGTTCGTAAAGTTAGACGACGCCATCAGGGCCCGTCACATCGAGGGTGACGAAATGCAAGTCACCTTTGCCCTGTCGAACTTGACAGGACGAGCAAACACTTGGGCCTTAGGGCTCAATCTTCACGACCCAAACGAGTTTGAGTCGTTAGATACCTTGAAGGCGCGGCTCAAAAAAACGTTTGAGACGTAAAGAGCCGAGTTCAAAGCACGATCTGCACTCCTGAGACTCAAGCAAGGTAAGCGTGACGTGCACGCTTACACACAACACCTCCGCTACCTTGATATTAGCGTCACGGAAAACTCTGTTGATGAACACAAGCTCATCAACGTGTTCATTTACGTTATTGTAGATGGACAAGTCATGGCCTTCATGTCTCGAGAAGACTTCCGTACGCTGGAAATGGCGATAGCATATGCGGAACAAGAAGACTTCAGCCTGAGACAGTCTCAGGCTAACTCTTCCAACTATTGTCCGACGAGACGACAGGAATCAGGAGGTTCCGAACCAGTGGACCCTCTGTTACATCGAGAGCGATAACTCTAGCTCTCTGAGTCACAAGCGAACGGCAAGATGCCATCGCTGTCAGAGGGTTAGACACTACGCTCATTAGTGTAGTGTCTCAAACACCGCATCACGTCCAAAGACAGGACGTGATGACCGCCGTTGGCTGAGGAAAGGTCCAAGGCGCTGGTCCGACCATGGCTCTAAACGCGACATCAAGTCGGACCGCCAAAACATCGGTCAGGATCTGAAGGGGCGGATCACCCTGCTAGTTTAGCAACGTCAATACAATTTGCAGGACTCTTGACGAAGATTTCTCTCAACACACAGTCGCTGAGTGTTACTGTTCCTAGTGATGAGGAGTCCCCCATCACTTTGAAGATCGAAGTTATAAGTAAAAATTCACTTTTGCGGCCTAGTTGACTGTGGGGCGTCGAACAGTTTTACTCGACGCCAGTCGCTAGAGGATATAAGACTCAACTATGTTGAGAGAGCTCTTCCTCCAACGAGGATGACGGTGTGCCTTGCTACAGGCGCATCTGTAACAGTGAACAAACGTGTAGTGGGAATCCACTACACGCTAGAAGGAAGGCAGTACGATGATGACTTAATCGTACTAGATTTCGATGACATTCCATGGCAGACCGCGGATAACATTTGATGTCATCCGCGGTCTGCCATGGCTTAGAAAATACCAGCCATCGATAAGATGGCAGCATCAAATCGTGAAAAAGCCTGCCGTTTGTACATCAGATCGCCATCTGATGAACGTCTTGGACCGTCCACAAGAGTGTGGATGTACTACGAGTAATTGCGACGGCCTCAATTGTGGTACAGTCGTTAGCACGACTGCACAAGATCACATTGTAGAAGGCCATTGCACTGTGGAACCATCTTTCGGAACCTGTGTAGAGACACAGGCTGCGCCGAAGCTTCACCACTCGAAGAGATCGAGTGGACTGGAACACGGATGCAAACCAAGAAGGGTGCATCCAAGAAGAGAGATTAGTGTTGTTCGGGATAAACAATACGTTGAAGCGAGATCGGCTAACAGAGAGTCGATCGTAGAGCAAGCCCGATCGACTGAAAGCGAGTCGATCGAAGAGGACGTGACTGTGGTCCATTGGACCCTCTGTTACATCGAGAGCGATAACTCTAGCTCTCTGAGTCACAAGCGAACGGCAAGATGCCATCGCTGTCAGAGGGTTAGACACTACGCTCATTAGTGTAGTGTCTCAAACACCGCATCACGTCCAAAGACAGGACGTGATGACCGCCGTTGGCTGAGGAAAGGTCCAAGGCGCTGGTCCGACCATGGCTCTAAACGCGACATCAAGTCGGACCGCCAAAACATCGGTCAGGATCTGAAGGGGCGGATCACCCTGCTAGTTTAGCAACGTCAATACAATTTGCAGGACTCTTGACGAAGATTTCTCTCAACACACAGTCGCTGAGTGTTACTGTTCCTAGTGATGAGGAGTCCCCCATCACTTTGAAGATCGAAGTTATAAGTAAAAATTCACTTTTGCGGCCTAGTTGACTGTGGGGCGTCGAACAGTTTTACTCGACGCCAGTCGCTAGAGGATATAAGACTCAACTATGTTGAGAGAGCTCTTCCTCCAACGAGGATGACGGTGTGCCTTGCTACAGGCGCATCTGTAACAGTGAACAAACGTGTAGTGGGAATCCACTACACGCTAGAAGGAAGGCAGTACGATGATGACTTCATCGTACTAGATTTCGATGACATTCCATGGCAGACCGCGGATAACATTTGATGTCATCCGCGGTCTGCCATGGCTTAGAAAATACCAGCCATCGATAAGCTGGCAGCATCAAATCGTGAAAAAGCCTGCCGTTTGTACATCAGATCGCCATCTGATGAACGTCTTGGACCGTCCACAAGAGTGTGGATGTACTACGAGTAATTGCGACGGCCTCAATTGTGGTACAGTCGTTAGCACGACTGCACAAGATCACATTGTAGAAGGCCATTGCACTGTGGAACCAGCTTTCGGAACCTGTGTAGAGACACAGGCTGCGCCGAAGCTTCACCACTCGAAGAGATCGAGTGGACTGGAACACGGATGCAAACCAAGAAGGGTGCATCCAAGAAGAGAGATTAGTGTTGTTCGGG